TACAGGACCCCAGCCACCTACAACCCAACCAGAACTACACCCAGACATATAATAATCAAAATTCCAGAAATCCAATACAAGAACAGAATATTAAAAGCTGTTGGAGACGAGAAACAGATCACTTACAAGGGAATACCCATCAGAATTACAGCAGACTTCTCGACACAAACCATCAAATCAAGGAGTGTGGGGCGAAATAATTCAAGCTTTGAAAGACAATAACCTCCAGCCAAGATTGATATATCCTGCACAACTGTCCCTAGAAATTAATGGAGAAAGAGGGTGCTTCCAGGATAAAGAACTAGGGGAATTTGCAACCACCAATTCAGCTCTACAGAGTACTTCAGGACATTCTAAAAGAGAAAAATACCAAGATTCCAGAAACAGTGTCAGAGAGGCCACAATGAATGCAGCAGAAAGCGAAATGAAGAAGACAAACTGACAACTAATGACCGAAAAAGAGCTCAACAGGAATGAGGCAGAGAAGGTTGGATGATATGAACAGCTATTTTGGAGAAAACAAGACATCATATAGCTAGTGCTGATTTAATATCATCTTGTTTTGAAGTCCCATCAAGCTTTTGTTCTTCTCCCTTAACATGTTGTATCTTACTGGATTTTATTATATAATATAAACAAAAACTTTAGACAAGGAGATAATACAGAAACCATTGTTCATTTTCTGTTAGGTGATTCTAAATACCCTGTAATCCTGTCATTCTCTTGAGTTTTACATTGTCTTGATATGTTCGATGCTACAGTATATAAAGTTATACTCAAAGATTTCAAGGAGACACTATGATAACTACTTTTATGTTGCAATATCTTGTGTTCAAACACTATTTTGCTTAAATGGTTAAGTTCAGACCTGTGCTGTTTTATTGTTATGTCTCCTTTTATCTCAATCTCCTTTTATTAATTTTTTTTATCTATTTAAGGGAAATGAATAAAAAATAGCAGGATATATTATAGTAACCCACTTTGATTTCCTATTAACTTGATTTGAAACCCTGTATTGCTCTCACCATCTTGTTTTGACTGATTTTATTCTATTGTTTGCTTGACAGTACCAAGTCTGAGAGTAGAGGCAACAACTGTGAAGACAATAAGATTCACTATGATGTCCATTTTGGTTTGTCTATTGTCTTCTTTTGAAGCCCGGTAATGTCTCCAATGTTTTGGTTTTATTGGTTTTGTTCTTTACTGTTTTGTTCAATTTTATTATCACTGATGATACAGGCAATTCTTTTTAAGATAGCAAGAGGCATTATGGTAACCATTGTTGATCACCTTGTATTCTGTTTTTACATTATGTATAATGTCCAGGCTTTTGATTTGACTGACTCTGTTTTGTTATGTCACATTTGGTTTTATTCTCTTCCATAAAAAATTATTAAGAGCTGTGGGAATAATAAAACCCCAAATGTGTAATTGCCATTGTAAAAAGTGCTCTAAAGGATATAACTGCATGTATATTTGAGCATATTAGATAACTATATTGAGATTTTGTTGGATCATTGAACAGAACTGTTTGCAGTCTCACTGTTTGAATGTCCACTTTATATCCTTTAATTTTGTAACTTGAACAACTATTTCTAAGATGACAATATGCAGTCTATTAACTAGTGATTTCCTGTTTATTTTTGAAATTCTGTATGACTTGTACCTTTTGTTTTCTCCTTAAATAAAATTTTTAAAAAATTATGTACTGCAAATGTATAATAAAAATTTAAAAAATAAAAATGCTGTGATTAGCTTACATGTTATAGATGGGTATCAAGGCTCAAGGAACATGAGATCAGTAAGACAGAAAAGACCTTTGCTTACATGGAGTGCACATTCTACCAGAAGCGAGGGAACAAGCAAATAAACATAAGGTGAGACAGTGAAAAGTGCCTAGAATAACACAAACAGGAACCAGGATGCAGAACAATGGAGGCAGTCTTCAGAAAGAATGATCAGAACATCTGTATAGACAGGGTGGCCAGGGAAAGTTTTTCTGAAGAGCTACTTATGTGGAGATCTCAACCAACACTGGGCGAACCCTGTACAGATTTGAAGGAAGTACGTAAGTAATGTATGTGTTTACAAAAAAAAAAAAAAAAAAAAAAATACCTGCATCTCACCATTTGGAATCCAGCACTGACTCGAAGTCAAAAGATTAAGTATTTGACTTCCAAAAATAAAGCAAAAAGGACTTAAGACATTTATTTTTTCAAATATATTGAAAGGTAGTTTCAGATATATTGTCAGTAGGCTGATACCTGAAGATGAGTATTACTGTGGTGTTATTTCACTGCAAGTGATAGTTATAGTAAAAATATGAGATCTCATGGCCTACTAAAGAGCTTCACAATCACCACTGGTCCCCTTGGGAGTCACCAGAATTGCTGGAGAACTCCTCTAAGTGGACAGCAAGAAAGACATGTTTGTTTACATCCAGTGGAAACAGAGAATCCAAGGATCAGCATGAGGTCTATCTTTCCTCCCATGCACAGCTCAATAGGCATCTAATTTGTTTTTTAACCTTTGCTATAGCAGGCTGTTTGTTGTTATTAAATGGCTATTTTTTTCCCTTCATGTTCAGTTTGCATTGCAGTCAATAAAACCTTTTAAACATTATACAGAAAACATTCTATAGTTTTAAGTTATAATAGATTAAATGTTTCTTCAAATGAACTTTCAGAAGTAGCAGGTGAAAAGCTATGTAAAGTTAAGATGGGTAAAATTTTGTAAAGAATGATCACAAAGGTCAAAAACAAAAGGAGCTTTCCAACCTGACTCTCCCACCAGAATGGCTCCCACCAGAGTGGTAGTGAGAGTAACACAAATCGTGCTGTTTTGTCATCAATAAGGTGGACACTCAACACCCCAACACTTACAGGTGCATCCTTGGAGCAGAATTCAAGAAGTGTGCTCCAGTATGTAGCTCAGTGATAGAACACTTGCATGCAAGAGGCTGAGACACACATAGGAAAACAAATATGGGGGAGAGAAGACAGACAGACTTCCAGAAATGTGCAAGACAGACAAATCTAGAAATACACAGTTGTGCACACCAATGTCTTTGGCTAGGGATATAGCTCAGCAGCACAGTGCCTGCCTAGCAAGAGGATGGCAATGTAACAAATACTGGTAAGGATGTGGGGATACTGCAACACTTCCATATTGCTGTTGGGAATGTAAAATGTTACAGCGAAAAGATTTGGCAGTTTTCACAAAATTAAACTATTTACCCGATGACTCAGCAATTCTACTGACAAATATATTATAGCAAATTAAAGACACATTCATGCATAGAGTTGTCCATTAATGCTCATGGCAGTAGTATTTTTTTTTTTTTTTTTTGTATTTTTACAGGTACCAGGGATTGAATTCACGACCACACGCTTGCAAGGCAGGCACTTATGCCGCTGAGCTAAATCCCCAGCTTTTTATTTGCATTTCCATAATGATTAATCCTTGTCTTTCAGATTTTTTGTTTTGGTTTTCTAATTTTGATAGCAGTTAAGTTTTTACCCACATTGATTATAGATTTTTGGAAGTAATAATAGATGCATATGTAACTACTACAGGAATTTGATTGGTTTTTCTTCATGTTTTCTGGACCACACATGGATACAGAGGGCATTTACTGTGTTTTGTTGAGTCAAAACAATTATTTCAAAAGCTTGGACATTGATGAAAGGCATGCCACAAGCAAACATTTACTCAAGAAAGGTGTGGCAAGAGTGGGGACAACTGTAGCATTTGAGGCTGAGCCTGCTCCCCCCTTCTCCTCCTCTAGGATCCCCATGTCCTGTGGCACTGTAGTCCTACAGCTCTGTAGTTTTACCAGGGTAGAGTAGGCTGGGAAATTCTGCAGTGTCAGTGGAACTTCAGAACTAAAAACTCGTGTGTGTGTGTGTGTGTGTGTGTGTTGTGTGTGTGTGTTGGTAGTGGTTATGGTGGTACTACTGAAAATAATACTGATCAGGAAGGAATAATATTGATCAGGAAGGAAACAATCAGGGAAGATCATATGATAGGCAGCCTGAAGGTGAAATACTGGGTGGTGCAAATGAGGAACAGAACACTCAGAAGATAAGAGATCTGGGAAATAAGACAATACTAAGGATAGTGCGTAAGACTACATGTGTACAACCAAGCAATTCCACTTTTAGGTACTTACCTAAGACAAATGAAAACTCATTTCCAATAGACTTGAAGTGAATGTTCACAGTAGTGCCATATTACTCAAAATAGGTTTAAAGAAGTATAAACAATTCAAATCTCAGGCAAAATGTGGTTTAACTAGCCAACAAAATATTCAGTAAAAAATAATTACTAGTATAAACAAGTATACACTTGACTAGCAGCCACTTTATTTATTTTTTGTCTTTTTCCTTTTTATCGGTACCAGGGATCGAACTCACGACCGTACACTTGCAAGGCAGGCGCTTATGCTGCTGAGCTAAACCCCCAGCCCCCACTTTATTTTTAAATGAAGTCAAAAGCAAAAGGTATTTTGTATGATTCCACCAGTTGCTTAGACAAAGGGGAAAGGGCAAGTGATAACTAATGAGTAAGAGATTTCCTTAGGATGATGAAAATATTCTAAAGTAGTTTGTAGACTACGCAACTCTGTAAATGCACTACTTTTTTTTTTTTTTTTTTGCATTACCAGGGATTGAATTCACAACCTTACACATGCCAGGCAGGTGCTTATCCCACTGAACTAAATCCTCAGCCTGAACTGTATACTTTTAATGGATAGATTTTATGGTAAGTTATGCTTTCACCAAAAGATAAACCGTTAACATTCATTAAATAAACACAAACTGAAACTACAACAAAATACCACTACCCACCCACTAGAAAGGCCAAAATAGAAGACTGCAATACCAAATTTTAGCAATAATGTGGCAAGATTGCAAAGTTGGTAGGACTATAAAATGGGTTAGCCATTTTGGAAATCAGTTGGCAGTATCATATAAACAAGTATCACACAACTCGGCAACTTAACCGCTAAACGATTTATTGAAAAGAAATCACATTACACAAAGATTGTAAATAAATGTTCATAATCACTTTATTCATAATAGCCCCAAACTAAAAATAGATCAAATCCTCACCCATAAAGAGAATGGTAACAAAGTGTAGTACATTCACACAATGGAATTACTACTCAGCAAAGAAACTACAGGTTCAAGCAACATGGATGCTTCTCACAGATACTATGCTAAGTGAAGCAAGACTTACACAAATAAAATACACACTGATTTCATCTAATATATAGTAATACAAAGCAGATCAATGGCTAAGGTGGAAGGTGGATGGGTGGGAACTGACTATGCATATAGGAACTTGAGGTAACTTGTGAGATGTGTTGGAAATGTTTTGGTTGTGGTGTTAACACAGCTATGCATGTCTGCCCTAATCCGTCAAGATAGTACACTTGTACAAGTGTTTCTGTTGTATGTAAATTATAGCCTAAAAAGTTCCCTGGAACAAGCAGTGAAGAAAAAAAACTGCTAACATATATAATACTGTTCTGAGGAAATAGGCCTCTAAAAGTGGAATGGGGCTAACAAATCTGGCTGGCTCCCCTGCGATCTCAGATCTGTGTTTGTGCATCTGCTTTCACCTTTGTTTCCGCAGCACTACTACACATCAGTCTGGCACAAGACTGAACGCATCACCAGTTGCCCTCCTAAAGGGCTTTCCAGTGACTTTTTAGGACTATTTCTTGTAAGGTCTAACACAAATGCTTATTCCAGGACTGCTTCAAGTATTCATTTTATTTATAGCTCTAAAACTATCCTTTTTACTTATCAACATATATGCAGTTCCTTACATACACCCAACAGTCTGCAGTTAAATGCTAAATGAATGAACCAATACTTCAATTTATTTGCATTCCAGTTCCAATAATCCCTCACAATCTTCTTCAGGGTGAGGAGACTTTTAAAGACCACCAAAAGTCTAAGAATGAAAATCAGACTGCAAGTACTCACATTCTTGGGCCTCAGTGGCTTTACAATGACAGGTATGAGATTATTTTTATATCAATAACTAACATTTTTTATTTCTTGTCCTTAATTTCTTGCATCCCCAGCTACTAATGGGAACTTAATGACTCACCACTAGGAACTGCTTCAGGAGAGAAAAACGATGAGTACAAGTCAAAGATATCATTGCTCAGTTTTGAATTCCAAAGTTGACCTTTTAAATTTAAAGAATTTATTTCAAAGAAAATACAATTCCACTGTGAAAATAAATGATCAGATAATGGCTGCATCAGGTAGCTTATTCTATGAACCACAGAGTTAGGAAGAATTCATAATAATACCAGTGTACCTTTTTTAACACTAAGTTAAGATCAATTAAGCAGGAAAGAATTAAAGGGGATTCAGCAAAAGCTCGCCTACAGAAGCCTGAGACCGGCTTGGCATCTGTTTATTCCTCATGATTTGACACCCTATTTTGGCCTGCATGAGAAAACTCCAGATAGGATATACACTAGCCATACAACAGAATCACATCACAACAATTACCTCAGGAATACTGGGGTGAGGCTGGGGTCAAGGTCTTAACAGATTTAAAGAGCTGCGTCTGCGTTCTATTCTTCCCTCCTGAGTTAATGTTCTTAGAGCCAGGGGTTGAGAACCACTGGTCCCAGTCTGAAAGCAGAAGTGTGTAATGTCCATCTTCCCAGTATGCAACCTAACCGGGTGGACAAACTTCTTGTCAACCCCTAAGCCTGACTCAATTCACCATGGCGCTTGGGCACAAAATGCCTAGGCAGTCAGGCAGCTCCATTTTGTGACTACAAGTTTTATGGACAAGCTTCTACAGCTGGGAGATGTGACACAAAAAACTCAAACACAGCTCAACATGTAACAAAGCCAACTAGAGCTACCACCAGCACTGCTCAGAAACACACCAACTTCTATTACACTGACTAGTTAATTAAAGCGCCTGTGTCCTCACCAAAAAGTAGCAATCACGGTGAAAGCCAGGGTTACTGGTGAATGCACATAATGAAGTATTATTAGACCTTCATTCTTCTTTAAAGACATCTCCTGTTCTCAATTTTTAAAAAATTGAGAAATTTTCTCCATTTAGTAACAACATGGAACAAATTCTGTTCCCATGTAATAGTTAAATCAACTTTAAAAGAGACTCAAGAGTCTTACAATGTTGGAATTAAATAGCCTTCAGAAATATTCAGGTACAGATGGGAATGGAAAAAGCTTCCTATAGTCTGCTGGATCCAGCTGTACAGTAGAGTAGCCAGCAATTGCCTAACTCTTCAGCCCTTAAAATGTGGCTAGTTCCAAACAGAAACACGCTCTAAGTGTGAAATACACTTCAGATATCAAACACTGAAAAAAGTATTGAACATATCACCTGATAATTTTTCTATTGATACAATGCTAAAATAACAGTTGGAAATTTAAATTGTTTAGGAAGGCTTTGGCCATGCTTGAGCCCCAACAAAGATAAACTGTACACCATCTGACATCTGTGACAGTATCATACAATATATGAATAATTAATTCCTAGCACTAACCAATTTAATAACATTGTAATTATTGATGAGCTACCTTGAAAAATTCAAGATTTATATTTGATATCTTCGGAAATATAAATCTACATTGCTAACATTGTGCAACCAATCTACTTTCTTGTTACTTAATTAGCCACAAATGACTGAGCCAATCAGAAAGCATTAAATTCTCAAACTGACTTTGTTGGAAGGCTATTTTTTGGTTAAGTACTCTTTAAATCTCATAAAATAATAAACAGTAAACCCAAAAAGTTCACAAAAAATAGTATTATAGTAGTAAGGCACTAAATGGCAGAATTTAAAAACGTTTATAATTACAGTATCAGTACGACATTGCAGAAAGTCAATTTTAAACATACTATGTGGGAAATTAAATCATGTCACATTTATGAATAAAAGGTTTCCGAGATCCTAGGATATACATTTCAGGCATTAATTTACTGCTATTCTTACAGTCCATGCTGTCCTAAAGTCCCAAGTTATGTACAAGGGAACCTTTGAATTAACTTGGGAGAAACCTATAGAAACTTGAATTAGCGTTCTCTCGGATATGCTGCATTAGGTAACCTGTGGGCAGGGTTGTCTCCTTGACCCACAAGACTATCTCAAGGTTGTTGCTCTTCCAATAACTAAATACAAGCTTACCAGTTCTCATTTCCTGTCCTTTGCTAAAAGAGAAAGATCACAAAGTGGTCAGTGGCAACTCATAGTTTTCTAAGAAGTAATACATCTCTTTGGTCCTCTTCTTACTAAGTCCAACCCAACCTCTTTTTGAAAGCAACATCAGGGCAATAGGATTTATCTTTCCCATGGATCTACTTTTACAAGACTGTTTCCAACCATAGTTTTACTTTCTGCTGCAAAGAACTGAAAAGCTAGGTATAACGGAAAAGGGTAAGATAAATAAATACAAAACCTCAAGAATGTCTGGCTGCATCTCAGCATTTTGGTAAGCAAATCTGGGAAAGCATGGCACCATTCCAATAGGAATCTAGAGCTAACAGTAGAGGGGACTCCACGAGAGGTCCAGGACCACCAGGTGGATGCTGTTTTGTGTTTTTTTTTTTTTTTTTTTTTGGTCTTTTTCCTTTTTATCGGTACCAGGGATCAAACTCATAACTGCCTGCTTGCAAGGCAGGCGCTTATATGCCACTGAGCTAAATCCCCAGCCCCTCAGGTGGATGCTGTTAAACTAGGTTTTGTGTATCGTGCACTTACTCTGACAGTGCTGCCAATGTTTGGGACTCAGCCTCCTGAACTCTTAATAGCCTCCACACACATATATCAACTCCTGATTTTTCACAACCTGTTCACTAGTTATGTCTTGGCTTTGCTCTAGAATCTGATACTTAAAATCCAATTCTTTTATTTTAGAATCAATGCTCCCTTTCTCTGGTTCTCCAGAATATTACCAACAAAACCAGCTTTCACCAGATATGGATTCAATAATTCAGTAAGTGGGGGAAGTACAGCTAGAAGCTGTCCTGGTCTTGTTTCCCATCGCTTATATACAAAGTGACTGTCAGGATGAGTCAATTCGGTTTTCTAAATTCCTCTATTTTTGGCTTTCCTACTGTCAATGCTTTAGTTCTGTTTCTCATTATTTGATCTGAATTACTCTAAATTTCCTAACAGTTCTCTCTGCCTCCAGACCCATTCTTTCTAAGTTGAAATGTAAACGTGATTGTATTTTCCTGCTTAAAATCAGTTTAGCTTGGTGTACATGAATTTATCATTTGCTTACCTTTCTAAACAGAGTAACCGCCAAGAATGCCATACATCTCTCAAACTCAGTGATGTGCTAAGCCTTCTGCCTTGGGAATAACCATTACAAAATTCTCACTATGTTCCTTTATCCACATCCCTCCCCTACAACTATACTATACTTGTTTTTAAAGACTTAATCATTTGGTTTAGTCTGAGTTTCACAATTCTCTATACCTTCAAAATACCTTGCATGTATGTCTATAACAGCCATCTGTTACACTCCACTTTATGCTTGTTTACTTTACCTGTTAAAAACTAAGTTTGTAGGCTGAGGAGGATCATAATTCTGATTACTAGCTGGGCAATTTAGTAAGACCCTGTCTCAAAATTTAAAAAAGGGAACAGTTTAGGGATACAGACCTCAGGGATAGGAAGATCAAACAATTCAAAGCCCCATACCGCTATAAAAATTAAGTTTATAAATATCAGCTATCTTTCATGTCTATATCCTTGGTCCCTATACTGCACAGTATCAAAGAATGCTTTATATATAACTGTTGAAAGAGTAAACTCACTAGATTTTAGATTAAGAATGGAAATCAGAAACACTAAAGTTTTCTATTATATGTTAGCTTCTTTAAGGATAACAGGGTCTTAGATATTACTGTCATATTTCAGAACAGACAAAATAACAAAAATTATTCACAAAAAGACAAAGGTATTCTTATTTATGCTAACCACTAACATTAAAAGGTTATTATATAACTGGTCTTGTATACCTTTTTATAAACTTCAACAAACCTGATGTGTTAAGTGGTAATACCTTCTTTTTATACACAAAGGTGAGGTGTACAGAAATTACCTTGTCCAATGTCCAGAGATGGAAGACTAGGCAGTCTAGCTCCAGAACTCAAGTTTTTAACTGGTATACTACTAAGGTCAATACTTTCTGTGTCATAAAATCTGTACTTCCAAAGATCACTCTTCTTCTAAAACACCATGGCATGTTACTAAACATAACAAACTGAAAAAGTTATGATTACACACTATGCACTATCATTCCTACTCAAAATTTAATAGCTCTACAGTCACATTTCAATCATAAAATTTACAGCTAGAGTTTACATTAGAAATGTTACAGTATATCTCCACTTACTGTTAAGGTAATCAGGAAACCTTCTTCTATTAAGCTATGCTTTGAATTTAACTTTGTGGTAATCAGTATACAAAAAATACAGAGGATATAGTATCAATTAATGCATGAGAACTTGAGCATTCAGGTATTTCTTTTATTACATGTACTATAAACTTAAAATATTATAGAGGATATGACAATTTTCCTCAAAAGCATCCTCTTGTTGTCTGTTTCTAAGTAACAGAATTCAGCAAGATCATTTGGAAATATTAAAATATCATTAATAAATTATTCTACTTTAGTTTACAACATATTAACGCCAGTTGACTCCATATATTTTCTCTATTTCTTGTGATTAATGCTTTTGATATCTTACTTAACAGAAAAATATTTTCTAATACAGGAAACTAAGAAGTATCACAGAAAAGTTAGAAACTACAAGAAAAACAGTGGAGGGAAATATTATCACCATGACTTTCCAACATGAAAAGTCACAGCAAAGAAAAGTAATGAACTGACAAAATCATCCTTCGGTATCTCCCTATGGAGTCTGCTAATTGCACTATATACCTCCAAGTTCTCAAGATTGACAAATATGAACCATTTTTGAGATTCTACCACCAGGTTTACTGAAAATAGGATGCAACCAGAACTATACATTCACCAAACTTAAATAAATCAGTGCCTATCAATTTCGACATACTTCATCAGAATACGCAGGCATGAGCTCTTAATAACAAGAAGACTGAAGTCACTTCTGATGCCAAGATTTGGGATCCTGACAAGTGGTTCACTGTCCAGTACAGAGCTAAAAAACAATGGTGGTTAAGAGATACTACAGTATTAACTTTTTTTCCCACTTATTTCTGGGATGTTAGTTCACACCGTATTCTTTACCTCTCTATAGACAATCAATGAAAAATCTATCACTAAACTATTGATCTAAAATTGACGACAGCTTGAATATCTGAAAACAAAACTCTCCTAGCCTCTGTCCTCAGAAAATTGTCTGACTTAGAAGACCAAGTATTCTCCATTTAATACAGGAATTCTGTTTCTTAGCCTATTCACTGCATTCACAGAACACAGTACCCAACTCATTGCTGGAAAAATTACCAAAAAAAGTTTTACTAGCTGTTCCTGATCAGTAGTACAGTACAACAAATAGCCATTGCCTCTAAACAAAACTAATTAGCAATTCAGTTTCAGAATGAAAAGATGAGTTAAAAAAAAAGACAGTAAAAATATAGCAAGTTATTCACAACAGCAAAATAAAAAATCAGAAATTACATTCTTCAGGAACAATAGGCGACTGAGGCAAAAGTAAAGTATAGATTTTTTTTTTGAACTTAGAAAATATCTACACAATGACATTTGAACAAAGAATACTTTACAGTAAATCACTATCAATATATACTGAGTTTGCCTCAGGTTAAATCAAAATTGCAAGAAAATAACCCAAATGAACTAGAAAACTTCAGCAACAAACTATCCTCATATTTAATAAGCACCAATTACCTTTTAGTAGTAGTTTTATATAGTTCCTCAAAATCTGATTAATGTGGAAACTTACTTGTAAAGAATAAGATTTGAGTATTATTATCAATGCATAGTATGGATATCAATAACCTGTTAAATTCAATTATTCTTGAATTATAAAAAAAGTTTCATGCTTTGTTTAAAACAGCTTATTTTTATGAAAATTTCACTCTTTCACTCTCCAACTCAGCACATAAATGTACATAGTATTTACATTGAGTTTACAGTCTTAAAGGAATACCGCTATGTCGTAGAATAAAATATTTATCCAAATGATTGCTCTCAAACTACATATGTAAACTTTGGAACACAGGTGTGGTCTAATAAGCTTTGAAGAGTTCTGTCATTTTATTAATGGACTCAAACTAAAACCTTTTTTTTATTTTTTCTTTTTTTGAGACAGAGTCTTGCTATGTGTTTCAGCCTGGCCTTGAACTCACTATGTAGTCCAGGCTGGCCTTGAACTCACAGCAATCTTATTGCCTCAGCCTCCCAATTGCTGGGATTACAGGTGTGCACCACCAAGCCTGGCCTTCTTGAAATACTGCACATCATGGAGACATGCTGTGCATGGGCCTCAGTCATTGTTGGGCTACCTTCTATTGAAGTATCTAGTGCGTGAGAAATGAAATCATCATATAATAAAGAAATGTAAGACTTGTACCAAGAAACTAAAATCCAGGTATGTACTATGCAAGCTAACAATTAAGACTTTTTCAATGTTCTTTCTACTATCACAAAATCAGATACATTTCAGTCATAAACGTTGCTCTTAAAACAATCTATCATCTAATTTGTGGCTAAATCTGAAAAGCATATTAAACTTATGGCTAGTCAATTTCTCTGGCAAAAGCCCAGAGCAAGACAATAATTTTACTTCTCTTAAACATTCTGGGGGGTGGGGGTAGAACCATACCAAAGAGAGATGACTTACAATTGGCAATCCATTATGGACAAAAGTGGCACTAAAGTGAAATTTAAGCACATATTGCTTTCTATACACACAAGGGTAACCTTGTTGGAAGATGAGTATTTACAAGGACTCTAGAAAGCTATGGTGATCTGGATTACCTAGGATTTAAATCTTAACTGTGTCTCCACCACAGTATTTTGTCATCAGTAGTTTCACCTGAATATTTAAATGCCTAACTAATATCATGTAATGTCCTACTTCTACTATCCAGTGCCTGCATATAGATTCACAAATATTATAAGTGATATTATACAGACTATCACCTATATACTTTCCAGATAATGGCTCTGACTCGAATAAAAACTGGAGCATCTGAGCTTTAAAAACTTTTTTTTTTTTAAATTTCTAGATTATCCTCTTTCAGGACATTGCTGGAGACTGAATTTAAAATAAAAATGTCAACTCTGAAAATTCTAACAAAAAAGGTGTTGCTTTAAAAAAAGGTAGTAAATACTGTTCTAGACAAATGTAATTACCAAGTAGCACTTGATGCTGACAAACACTGAACCTTCTTCAAAATCTCAGGAGCTGCTATTGTAGCAGCTACAGCACAGAGCTCTATGACAGAGGCTAAAAAGGACGAGGAAAAGGGAAAGTTAACGCAGTTCAAAAAGTAAAGTTAACAAGCTACAACAGAAAAACAACTTCAGGACAAGGTAAGCCATTAATTATCACAGATGTAATAAATGTCTTCAGAATAAAAGACAACAAAGTAATTCCTACCATAGCAATATACCAATCATAGAAAATAAGCTATCCACATTCTGAGAGATTTTCCTTGGGGGAATTATGGTGGGAGGATGTGAAAGCTTACAAAACTGAAGATGTGAAATAAAATAGATACAAAATAAGATTTCATAACAGAAAAACTTTCCTTAAAATAATTTTCCTTGAAGGAAGAATAATTTTCCACAACTGGTTTATAAAGCACCTATAAGACTGTGCTGTCAGCTGTTACAATGGAGGTTTGGGATTCTTTTAGCAATTGCAGCATAACAAAAGGCATTTCACAGCATAACTTTAGGGAAAATGTTATCCAGTCTAAAATCACACAGAAAGCAATTAAAAATTAATTTAGCTATTCATAGTACACAAATTTTTCTAGGTAGCAGCAGCTGCTCCTGTACATGCCCTTTTAAAAAACAATATGAGACAGAAGCAATAGAAAAAGATTAAGAGTAGCAGTGTTAAATTTAGAAAAAAAAAAGCAGCAAATATTTAAGTATATTAAAGAGAGTTTAAAATAAGGAAACAGTACTGTGCAACTTTCAATTATACCAAGTAAAGTGCACTGCCTAAATATTCACTGATAACATTTTCCCTGTTGAAAACACACAATCTACTTAATCAGTATTTTTGATATTTTAAAAAAACATTCACTATTATAGCCCTGATAGCTATCTTTCAGTATTTTTAACCATTCAGATGTATTTTTGGGAAATATTTATTCACATAATTTTGCTTAATACATTTCTTTCTACATAAGATGAAATTAAAAATCTGTATAACATTTTCAATTACAGCAACATCAATAAATTATAAATTAACAAAATTTTTATATTTCCTTTAAAAAATCATTTATCAAATGCTAAGTTCCAGATTATCTGGAAAATTAAAGATGCACACTGCTATAAAATCTGGCATCCTAATTAAATTCTAACTTTTAAAAGTATATAAAATGTCCCTCTAATTATTCCAAATTCCACTCCAGAAATTTTTGACTCTTTTCATAAGTCACTAAGTTTACAACCTGCTAAACATTTTACCCAAATGTGGGAACTGAAAATGCAAAGCTTAACAAGATAATTATGTATATGAAAAGAACAAACAAAAATACCCGTTAACAGAAAGTTATTGTAGCTGGCAGCACATAAAATTGGTAATCATATTTAAAAGTTGCATAGCTGCAAGATGATTTGCTGCTAACTACGGAGCAGTTTCATTTAGAAAGAAAACAATATATTTCACAAACTGCAATTCTATAATTACTTAAAATGTAATTATGCAACTTGATTTGCTCTTTGGACAGCATTCTGGTAATATTAAACCTTTAATTTAAAAATATTAACATATTTTAGCTTTCCTATGTAGATATCTATTTTCCACACTTGGTGAAAAAAAAAAATGGAAGAACTTGAGATCATAGTCTACATTCAGAGAATGTTTTACTGCTTGATTACATTTCTTGGTTTTCACATTTAAGACTTGAGTTTATAAAGAAGTAAATTACGTTGTTTTAAATTTAAGAACAGATGAATGTTGGGAGAAACAGACCCCAAGCTAAAAAAAAAAAAAAAAAAAAAACCAAAAAAACAGAACAAATCAAAACACAGCTATTTGCACAGCTCTAGAAAACTGACTAAAAAGTAAATCAACTTTTTAATCAGTTAACTTTGGCGTCTGAATACAAAATGTTGATCAGTATTAACTATGTAGATGACTACTGAGGGATGTGCAGCATTTTCGAAATCCCTGTGTGTCCCTTATATGCAAGTTTGGTACACTGAGTTCTGTGGTTACTGTCCTCTCTTCAGCAGGGCTATTTTCTTTTATGATTGTCCATCTCTGTATTACCAAGTCTCCTAGAACTCAGATTTCTGGCTGAATAAGCCCACATTTTTATTTTTCAGAGACAGATCCTCAAGTCCTCTTAGATTTTTCAAGCATGTTGAAAAGACAAGAAAACCTGTGCAAAAACAGAAAAACTTAGCTTGAAACATGGTCCATAATAGTAATACACAAATCAAAAAACAATGTTTATTTCCCTATGAACATTGAATCACCTTTAGTTACTATTCCAAAAACTGTTAATATATCAAAAAGTCAATACACAATACTAATTCCTCTTCCATAACAAAAACTACACAAGTAAAGAGTATTACATACACAAATATTCTTATTTATTTATTTTTGGTACCAGGGATCGAACTCATAACCTTGCACTTGCCTGGCAGGCACTTGTGCTGCTGAACTAAATCCCTGGCCCTGTCTTTTAATTTTTAAAACTTTTCACAAATAACTAAAAATTCCCAAAATAAAAATTAAGCAATTTCCTAAGACCTCAAATATTTATGCATTTTTTGTTTTAGGCTGATAATTAAATTCTTATGTTGACAGATATATACTGCTTTCTTTTAAATGTTTTAACACTGAATCCTCTTCAAATCCATGTGCTTTTCAATGTGGCACAGGTGAAAGGATGGAAAGAATTTGTCACTTGACAAATATAAGTAGTCACAACATCAGCAAAAATGTGAGTGAAGATATTCCACATCTACAGATTCTTAAGAATGACTCTTTAAGGTCACTACAAACAGACCTCTTTGGTTCAATTTCAATGGACAGATGACTTGATAGTTCAACCCGCTGGATATACGTTCAAACCTCAGGTTCTCTATAAGAAAAAGACTATATACACTCCCCTACCCTGGGGTATTTGGGATTCAATCAGGTGCCTTACTATTGTTTTTTTAAATCGGTACCGGGGATCCAACTCACAACCACCTGCTTGCAAGGCAGGTGCTTATGCCACTGAGCTAAATGCCCAGCCCCCAGGTGCCTTGCTGTTAAGTTGCATGCTTAGCCCTTTTTAAAAATTCTATTTTGAGATAACTACAGTCCTACTGCCCCAGCCTCCCAAGTAACTGGAGTTACAAGCATGTGCCACCATGCCCAGCTGACATGTATTTTATGACATGAGTGTTCCATATATGCCCATTGTGAAATTAAAAAAAAAAAAATTTCAATGATGAGACTGTGAAAGAAAATGTTTTATACCATACAACTCCACTTTATAGAAAAAAATGTATCTACTGTGGTCTGAATGTGTCATCCCAAAATATGTATGCTGAAAACTAATCTCTAGAACAATAGTACTCAGTAAGAAGTGGGATCTTCAGGAGGTGATTAGTCTTGAGTGCACTGCCTTCAAGAATGGGACTGATGTCCTTATAGAAGATGGAGGGAGGCCAATGACCTTTCTGCCATCTCAGAACATCCAGAAGGGGCTGCAAATGAGGACCAAGCCCTCACCAGACATGGAATCTATGGTTGCCTTCATCTTAAGACTTCCCAGTCTCCAGAACTATAAGCAGTTAGTTTTTCTTCATTATAAATTAAATGAAATATTTTGTAATAGCAGTTTGAATGCAATAGGACTCTGGAGGGGGAAAATTATTTGTAGCTGATTTGGATGTATTTGGTACTAAGGCAAAAATTTCACTTTATTAATACTGGCTCCAAAGCAGAAATACGAGGGCAGATGAGTATGGTGGAAGAAATCTACTCAACTCATGGCATCCAGGGAGCAGAAAGCAGTCAGAGAGGATGGGACCAAGGACTAGAAATAGCTACCTTGGCCACATCTCTCTGACCCACCAAGAAGGTAATCAAAATGACCATCAAGATTAACCATTACCCCCTCCCAAAGATTAACCACCATTGCCTAACAAAATATCTAGCAAGTCCCTTCTTAAGCCACTTTATTCAGATAAGAAAACCTGTATATTTCCACATATTGATGAGTTTGGCACTTTTTTTGCACTTGTAGGTAAATACTCCACCACTAAGCTACATCTCTGATCCCTTCAATTCTTGCTGTCACAGAGCTGACTACTCTGATCTCCAGTTTCTCAATGGGAAGATGGGGCATGATGTGTACTTCTTGGGTTTCTAAACTAGAAGTAAATGGATTTTAAGGTATACCAAGAATTTAGCAGTTACTTAACACCTTTAATGTATTTTTAGTGTGTGTTTTCTACACAGTAGTCTAATAAAAGTACCTGAAATGCATACCAGTGTACACACACAAACACAACAGGCATCTAGGAATGTATCTCAGTGAACAAATGCATGAGTAAAACTGGTAGCTGAGGTGTAATTCAAGATATTTTAAAAAGCAATTACAACAGAAAAAGGAAGAATTACCTATTGAGCAGGCATGTGATGCTTAATCTGAAGGGTGCTCAGGGCAAGATCTATTTACTTCAAACCATTCATCTATGCAGCTAGAAAAGAACAAAACCAGAAAAATTTAAATATATACATCTAGTTTTTTATATCATGACAGGCCTAATAAAAATGCTTACTACTGAACTTCAGAGAAAAAAAGGTCAATTTTAAGGATCATATTTGGCATATAAATCCAAGATAAGCAAACATTTTGATTATTCTAAGCCATTAAGAAAAAAATTTGCAAAATAATGCTAAGTAGTTTAAAGCTTAAACAAAACAATTATTTCCTAATTTCAACTACCACTTTGCCAATATGAAAAATTAAAGCGCAAATGTCAGAAAAACTTTTCAAAATACAAATCTGTTCATGCCACCTTGCAATGTAATAAAAAAAGCTTCTAAGTTTCAATCCTTGAGAACATCACATTTACTTTAATTCTATCCTACTCTCCAATGCATATCCATATATAAGCACACCATCATCTTTTTACATTAATAGAAGAGCTTATGATCTTATTACTTAAATATTAGGGAACATATAATTATCTTCAATGTAGATCTGTACTGTCTATTGTAACAGTCAAGAGCCACACATGATTACTTGAATTTAAATTTATTAAGATTGAATTAAAAAGAATTAACGAATTAAAAGAACCCAATTCCTTTAGTCACTCTAGCAACATTTCAATTGCTTACGAACAACATGGCTAGTATCTCTGGTAGACTGCAGAGATATAGAACATTTTCATCACTATAGAAAGTTCTAATTCATAATGCTGTGATAGATAAAATCAAGGTCTTAAAAGGTTAAGTAGCTTGCTCAACAGTAAGTATTCCAAGTAAAGCGTTTAATGTTCTTTCTGATGACATATGTCAAATTTAGATATGCCGCAAAACTGTAAGACTTGCATAATATGTTCAAGGGCAAAATTACTATTTATCATTTTCATATCCTCACAGGTTGGTTGGGTAGTTAAAAATAATGAAAAAAATGTGAAATATCTCATCCACATTTTAAAAAAATATCTAAGATAATTTCTGTTGCCATTAAGACTTTTATACTCAAACATATCTTTGACTAGGTAAGACACTGTTTTCAGCTTGCTCTATACCATTGGGCTCTAAAGATTCCAGTCTACTAGAACATCACTCAAAAAAAGTACTGAGAACTAAACAAAGTACTCCAGAAGCATAAACAATTCAGAAAACATATGGATAGGATCTATGTGATGTAATATCCATTCATCAAGAGAAAGTAATCACTAAAACCACAGGTTCTTTTCAGATAAACTACCATGAATTCATATTTTTTCCATTTAAACTACTTTTATTGGTTATTTAAAATATGACATTGTCCAGCAGGAAATATCTGTCTTATACTTAGTGCTTTCCATTCTTGGGCATTTTCTTTCTCTATAATGATATATATATATATGTATTCTAAAACAACATACAATAGACTTCCATGTTTAAAAATTTATATAAATGCTACAGTAAATTATAATATGCTTTTTCTAAACTTGCCCTTTTGCTCAACTTGTAATTATACTCATTTTCACATTTTCATTGCATCAAGTATTTCTGTTGATAAGATTATTAGCATTTATGTATTTATACTTTTACTGATGGACATTTGCTTTTCTAAGGCACCAGGAATCAAATTCAGGACCTCGAGCTTGCCACCATGCTTGGACCAACTTAACAATTTTTGAGGCAGGTTTTTTTGTTTTGTTTTGGTACCAGGAATTGAACTCACGACCTCGGGCGTGTGCCGCTGAGCTAATTCCCAACCCCCAACATAACAATTTTTACAAATTTTCTATCTTGATTCTTTTTCTTATACTTCTAGAAAGTTATTATCTGGGTATTTTAGCTAAAAATGTATACATGCTTTTGACATGCCTTGCTTCTCATATAATTATACCCTATCACTAAAAGTACTAGGGTTTATGAGGGGGAAAAAAACCAGACTAAAGGTACATACCATTGATGTAACACAATTTTGTTACCAGAATAAAAAAACATGTTCACTTCTAATAAAAATACTACTGTACATACAGGGTTATTTTTTTTTTTTTATGGTAAAGTTTACCACCACAGAAAGTGGACTAAGGAAGGATCAAGACTGATAGGCTGTGAAGACAAAAGCCAAAGTACACACATAAGAACTGTAAGCTAGTACTTTCAAATCCCATAGCCTAATTTAAGAGTAAGAACATAGGGAGATACTATCTTTTCAGTAGTACTGTATTATTCTATGGCCTGCTGTGTTAGCATGTTTTCATTTGCTGTTACCTGATGCATCAAAACTTTAGTATGCTGGGAAATATTATATATGCAAAATCATGTCATCATACTGTCTTCACTCTTCCACTCATGAGCAATGAGTGCAATGAGTTAACACATTATAAAGCTGAAAGACAACACTATTTTTAGACACCAAACTATTGTTGTTATATATATGTACTGAAAGCCACTCTCAGTCTAAGGTCGAGATCTTATTTTTTCAATGTCGTGATGCAAGTAAGTTTAAAATTTTAATACAGTTATATTTATTGATCTTATGTTGCTATTGTTATGGAAGGGGTCTGTCTTAGCCAAAAAAATAATGGTTAGTGTGCATAGTGATACATGATGCCTAGACATAATCCCAGCCACTCTAGAGGATCAGAAGGATCACTGAGTTCAATATCAGCCGAGGCAACTTAGCAAAACCTTGTGTCATTTAAATACTCTCATTATAAAAATCTTCTAAATCTGAAAAGCACAACACCACCATGGTGTTCTTTGTAAGCATCCACATAATTCTTAGTTTTCTGTTCTTTGATCCATATGTATTTTATTTTTGCTGTAATGGAGAGTGAATTCAGGACCTCTGCATTGAGGTATATTCCTAGCCCTTTTTATGTTTTACTTTGGGACAAGGCCTTGCTAAGTTGCTCTGCTACCCTCAAACTTGTGATCCTCTTGCCTTAGCCTCCTGGATAGCTGGGACTACAGCTACGGCCACTAAACCCAGTTCGTATGTATTTCATAGAACAATCATGTCGTTATATGGAAAACTAGCTGAGATTTGGTTGGGATAATATTGTCTATATAGATTAATTTAAGGTGAAATGACATTTTTATGACATTGAGTTTTCCTATACATGGTATGGTAAATGTAAATTTACTTTAGATTTTCTGTTATAGTTTTTACCTAGATATCCCCTTTAAGCCTCATGTGGTCATAGGTATTCTTTGAATGCTTGGCACAACTAATTATCAAACTGTATCTGAAGGCCTGTTTTTTAGGATTTTCTTATTTAAGTGCTTGTTGTTTGCAAGGTTGGTTAGTCTTAATTACTTAAAACAGTTTGGTTGATTCGGGATTCCAGTTTCTTTTCAAATAGTTCTTGGTAAAATTTTTCCAATTATTTTCAATTTCTATCATTTCCCTCTTCCTTTCTCTACTATTTATTTATTTTTTCTTACAGAGGCAATTTTATTAATTTTTTCCTAAGAACCACTTTTGGTTATGTTGAATTCTAATGTGCCACTTTTAAATTTCATTGTTTTTCTCTAACCTTTAGTATTTTGTTTATTGCACTGACACTTTCTTAATTTCTCAAATACTTTATTTACTGATTTCAACCTTTCTATCAACTTTAACACGAAACATCCCTCCTCAGAATCATTCTAGCACATGTCAAAAATTTTTCAGTATTATTCAGTTCCCAGGGTTTTCTAAATTCTATCATGACTTCTTCTTGGATCTATAAATTGTTCAAAAGTACATGTCAGGATTGTTTCTTTTTACTACTGATGCCTAACAATATTATTCATACAGCAGTTTTGTGTGGTATTTTTTTGTAGTTTGTAAAGACTTTATTTTATGGGCTGTAGCATGATCAATATTACTCCATGTGTGCCTAGAAAAATAGTAAAACGTACTATAATTGCTGGTTGCACACATACAAATTAATTAGATCAAGCCTGGTTAACTGTATTGCTCGATTTTTCTAGATCTTAATTCATTTTGTATGTATCCACTTGACTAAAAAAGAACTCTTATTAAAGTTTCCCATTAAAACATAGATTTGTCAACTTCTTCTGGCAGTTTTATAAATATTTTGGGACCATGTTCAGTATACAAACGTAGAATTGTGGGCTGGAGATTTAGCTCAGTTGCATAATTGCCTGCCTGACTAGCACGGGATCATGAGTTTGATCCCAGGTACCAAATAAACAGAAAAAATAGAATTGCATGTATTTCTTATAGTGACTCTATTCCTTGTAACACTTTCTAGTTTACTTTGCACTTAGTTAGTTGAACTTTGTCTTTTAGTTAGTACACTACACCCCTGACCTAAAAACATTCAAGTTGTGAACTTCCAGATATGACTGGATCTCACATTATGAACATTTCCAGATATGAACAAATTGCGGAAAGTAGCATGTGTCTGCCAGGCACTGTCACAGTTGTGTTGCTCTGTGCTTATTGCACAGCATAATAATATACAGTGGTGCAGTGCTCAATCAGAGCCCAGGGTGTCTGGAAACAAGAGAAAACCAGTGATGATGTGTATGGGACTGCTAGGAAGTACAAAGCAGTAATCATGGAAATAATTGAGAGAATAAACTGAGGTGAAAAGACAGCAGACATCGCATGCTCTTACATGAATTGTTCAATCACTGGCACAATTCAAATCGTCAAGGGTAAGATCATGGAGATATAAAATCTGCTGTGCCAATGTGAAGCCAACAATAACATTTAAAAAGCATGCTAACTCTAACCTTACCCTGAAACAGTACAGGAAATGGAGAAACTTCTGTGCATGGATGAAGGATCAGTATCAACATCAAGCCCCACTCAGCTTAACACATATTCAAGAAAAAACTAAAAGCTTGCTGAATTCATGAGGAAAAAACAATTGAGCAGGATGCACCTTTTACCTAAGCCTCCCTTTACTGGACTTACTGTATTTGCCTAGAGAGTTTTCTACACTTTTACTTTCCTATTCCTTTACATTCTTATGTTTAATTGTATTGCTTTATCAACAACGCATTCCAAATTTTCAATTTTAACTTGGTGAATATGTTCATTAAGGACTTACTTTTCTTGTAAATATATTTGGATTTATTTTTACTTCTTTGCTCTCTCCATGCTTTTCTTTCCTATCCTCTAAGTTACTCCTTTCATGGATTTGAAAGCTACACTTTTCTGCTCTTTTTGTGGTTACCTTAGATAGTTGGGTTTTTTCCATTTTTAAAATCTGAAATCTTCCTTACATTATTCTGAAAGCAGAAAGAATATCAGAAACCAGATGAGAGTCAAGCACATTCCAGACCTGCTGAGATCTCAGCTCTGTCATTTTCTTTTTTCTTTCTTTTTTTTTTTTTTTTTTTTTTTTTTTTTTGGTCTTTTTGAGACAGGGTCTCTCTATGCAGTTCAGCCTGGCCTTGAGCTCACTTTGTAGCCCAAGCTGGTCTCGAACTCATACCAATCCTCCTGCCTCAGCCTTTCGAGTGCTGGGATTACAGGCATGAGCCACCATGCCTGGCTAGCTCTGTCATTTTTTAGAGATATAAACCATGGAGCACACTATTGCCTTGAACACTATTTTCTTAGTTACAAAATGTGGTTTTACAAGGCATACAAGAGACAACCTATGTCAGGACCTATGGACAATATCTGCATCATGGTAAAATACTTTTAAAATGGCAGCCTTTTGGATATACCAAATGTAATCTCCAGTCTGAGCCTAGCTGGGGAAAGAAGGCCAATACTGTTTAAGTTGAGGGGAGGAATTTCAACCAAGAAGAAATCTTTCAGTCTTAAACCACAATGATTGAAACTCCGAGCACAATCTTTTACTCCACTACCAATCTGGTTAATACAAACTTACCCTTTATGATATATGCATAGACATGGTAGTCGTGCTATAGTATCTCCCTGCTGCAATTCTTCAAGGCATATTGCACATTCCCCAGCATCTTTACTCAGTACATCCTCTGTAGAGAAAATATTAATTCAAAGAAATAACATTAATAGTAGTTCTACCAATAGCTGACATCCCTTTTATCGTAACTGTACAAAACTCAGCACCTATATTTGAAATACTATTCATAAATGAGTGAGTAGTATTTACTACAGACAGATAAATACTCACATTTCCATTTCCATTTTATTGGGGCATCACAGTAAGCAAGAATAGTACAAAATTCCCCAACTGCAAAAGTAATTGAGTTATCTGTAATTCATTTTCTTTCCCCTACGAATCAACATTAGTTTGTTGCCCAACACAGTTCAAAAGTTTAGAGTGTAATATGGGTGAAAAAGACATAATAAAACATAACTTAAAATACTAAAATACAAAAAGAAATCCTGAACTTAGACATATTTAAAGCTGATTAACTCAAGACAACACAAAGGAAGAGCAAAGCTTTTGTGTAATTGTTCGAAAACTTGAAAACTAGGCATGGAAGCACCGAGTCTTCCTAATCATTTTCCAAGGCAATGCTTAGCCAACTCCAAGCAGCAATTTCAGTGGCTTCCAGAGAGTCCTGCAGGTATTTCAAGGTTTTGGGATATATTTAAATTCTCTAAGGATAAACTTCTTATTATAAAGCAAATGTGCTTTTTTTAAGAAGTTCTTTCAGTTTAAATTACATTTTAATGCTATATTTTCATTTTTAAAAAAGATCTTACCTAAATCAGTGTTAGCCAGTTATCTTTTGTATCTCTTTCAAAAGGCAGGGAAAAAAATTGCCATTTCTAAAGAGTGTGAATAAGAACTATTCATGAGTATGTGCTTCCCTTGTAGTTAGTCATCTTTAAGAAAGCACATTGAGGAAACACAGACTCTAGTCAAGAAGGGAAAGTATAAGCTGGAGGTGGTAACAGGACTACTTCTATCTAAAGAAGAGGAAAAGACCATCGCAAGAAGAGTTTACCAGCTAAACCCATGCAATGTTAGGAGTTTCTTTAATTAACTACTGGGTAAATCATGAGCTAAAATTACAGTTACAGACTTTAGCAGGAAAAGATTTGTGGGTAAGTGAAGCTGAATAAACACAAAATGCCCTATATTATAACTTCCTTCAACTTCCTCTTCTCCATTATTCTTCTTTTGACCCAGGTTTCATTCACTATTCCTACCCCACCCTATACCCTATACCCCCAATCCATTTCTTTTTTTACTCTCCATTTTTTTTAGTATTCTGTGTATTTTTTGAAGAAGATTCAGATAGGGAGTCAGTTTAATATCAAACACCTATATAGGGTGAGAACACAGAGAACAAAATAAACGACTAGAAGGATACACTAACAAATCTTAGTAAAGGCCTTTAATTCCAAATAAAAGGTATGTTCACACAAACAATAAAATAACACCATAACAAAGAATTATATAAGTTCCATAATAAACCACCAAAAAAAAAAAAAAACCCCAACAAATAAACAAATAAAAAAAAACCCAAAACAACCACTGCTTCTTCTTTTAATGTCTTTTTGAGACAGGGTTTCACTATGCATTTCAAGCTGGCCTTGAACCTCACTTTGTAGCCTAAGATGGCTTCAAACTTGCATCAATGCTCCTGCCTCAGCCTCTGTGAAGTGCTGGGATTACAGGCATACGGCAGCATGCCTGGCCAACACATCAGTGAGTATGAGTTTAAAAAAACAAAAAACAGCAAAACACCAAATGGTAAAAGATGGCATCATCAAGCTGGCAACAACACTGATACTAAAAGAATATTTTCAGAGTTAAGTGTGACAAAAAAATATGTTTTACAATTGGTGGGCTACGGTATCATATTTTGAACTTTTTAAAATCCCTTACCAATGCACCCTGTTAAGTATTAATGACTCTTCAAATCACATTCTTTGTAAGAAAATGACATAAAACCATACTGCCACATTTTTGCCATATAAGCCCAAGTAATAGATTGCCAACTCTAAAGCAGAAACCACTAACTACAGACTGTTGAAGATTGCATTGCTGGAAGAGTAACTGTTTTACAACACTTCCACGGTGACATGACTGACTCTCACTTCTTCATTGAAATCATTATTTTAAAAACTTGGCTACTGTATTTCTTCACAGTAGCCCACCCTCTGCTGTTGGGTGTATTTTTATATTTTTATTTTTCCTTCCTTTTTCCTGGCTCAAACTTGCTCTGCAGAGCCCACTTTCCCCTTACTCTTGTTTTTTCCTACCTTTAATAAACTTTGCCACTGTTCATGTCTGTTTGGCTCAACTCTGTCCCTGTAAGAAAGGGCCTAGAAGTCACCTCTAAATACAGACCCTGGTAAGATATTTTGGCTTACCTATCAAGGAGAACAGGCCCCATGGTGCGCCAAGGAAAATCATATGCACCACACTCTGCAGATTCCACCAACTTTACCTAGGCTGCATCTTTGATCAATGGGAAAGATTTCCAGCAATGGAAAGAACAACTAAGTTGACTTTCAGAGGATCTTAGATAAAGGCAGTCCCACTTGAACTGTCTAAAGATAGACCACCCAAAAGAAAAAAGCTATTTCTTTGAACTTCTGGAAGACCTATGATTTTTCTTCAAAAAACAAGACTCCAGTGCTGCTACTGGTTCTTGCTAAGGTCATGGCTGTCAGGCTCTTAACAATTTATCTGGTATCACTCTCTGACTGACATAGGTTCTCCTCCAAGAATGCAAATGTGATCTGTTCCTTATATTTGGGCTAATGGTAAAGTTTATTTCTCCCATCAAAACAGGCTCAATAGTCACTAATTCTTTCTGCATTGTCATCTTTTTTTTTTTTTTCCTAGTCTGCAATGCAGCCAGGGAGCCATAATGCCTCAAGGTAGTTGGAGAGACAGGATCCCCAATAAGTAGGAATTACATCTCCTTTCAGTTGGAAATCTCTGTACAATGACAGAGATCTCCCATTTGCTCAGTACCTCATAAAGAATTACGGGTTATGAATGAGGCAGGAAGACAAGCTGGTTAAAACTAGCTGGGAAAGGAGGCATGACAAGATCTCAAGACACAGGTGCAAAATAATTCTCAGAACCCTGCATGTGAGAACTTCAACAAGCACTCAAACAGGTTTTTGATGGAACACCAGTGTGCAAAATAGAAAAAAAGGACAGTTGCTCTCTTACACATGTTCTCATATGTTCTATCGTGACCCTTCATGGTAGCCCACCCTAAGCTGTTGAGTATGTTTTTATTTTTATTTTCCTCCCTTTATACTTGGTTCAATCTCACTCTGCAAAGCCCTTTTTCCCCTACCATTGTTTTTCACCTTAAGTAAATGTGAAACTTTGCCACTGTTAAAAATTTTTTTGAGATAAGAACTTTAATACATAAAATCAAAACATTTTATTAATTTTATTTCTGAATTTATCCTATTTATAAGAAATTTGGTACAACAAAGACAAATCCAATCTGTACATGATTTAACAGATTTACATAGTACATTTTAGGAATATTATACATTATACCACTTTAAATTGGGGCAAGTTTTATCCATCAGATAATTTGTAGGAACTAAGTTTAAAAAACTCTTTTTGGTTTAATTTAAATACTACACTGATCATTTTAAGTTAAGCTACTTTGAAGCCTCAGTAACAAGAAATATGAGAACTGAATTTTTTGTATTAAGTAGACCTATATACAAAAGATAATCCTAAACATACTGATTTCAGGCAGAATCAACCCAATATTCACTGTACTTCTAGTAGAGTTATCAGTGCTCAGAAAATTAAAACCTAACGTTAACATATTATAGCCACTGTCAGCTGCATTATGATAAAAAACTTGAAAGACATTAATTCTTACTACATGATTACTGCCGCAAATGCTTAATTTCCAAAATATGAAGTCTTGCTTCTAATTAAAACTGTCTTAGTGTGTTTGGAAAACATTTTTAGTTTGGAAAATTCAATGCAATGTGATAAAATTCTGCTTACCTGAGGGTCTGTTAAGGGTAGTTACCTAACCTATCACTTAGGTGAGACCATTATTCTCATTCAATGGAGAGTTTTGAGCTTTTGCCTTTATCAGGGAAACCAGGTGAAAAAGTTATTGGTTGGTATGATAAAATCACAATCAAATAAAGCCTGAAAATAACATTAAATTTGGGGATTGAAGTACCTTCCAGGTAGTTGGGAAAATATTATTAAAAACCTAGAAACAGTCTATTGAAAACATTCATGTTGATACTATCATCTGGAATTAAGGAATCAACAGTTCAGGATGGGAATAGCTTGCTTTAGGCAGACTAATAACTAGGCAAATTTTATATTAGAAAAGGGAACACTAACAGATTTAACTACCATAGTTGGCTAGTTCCTCTCCTTCACTAGAAGTGATCAGTAAAGACACATGAGATTGGGAACAGGAAACTAAAGTTATGTTGCTTTTTCAATAAAGTGTTGCTCATCACTTAAACGTAGAGTAGTAAAGTTAAATCAATACATTGTTGTGAATCTAATTCTTTGTCTTATTCTTAAGATCTATGAGTTAATTTATACATATGGATATACAAAGATAAAAGACTGAAAGAGAGTAATGATTCTTAATCAGAGATGGACAGCTGAATCATTTAGGGGTACTTTCTGCCTCAACACAGAAAAAAAATCGTATGTATAGTACCAAAGTCCCTAGAGATTTTGTAATATATACTTGCCTCAGAAATGAGATTACTGTTAAAGACATAGCACATTGAAGTCAAAAGTGCATTTTTTTTTTTTTTTTACACTGAACCTGGAACTCACAATCTCCCACCTCAGTTTGAGTGGCTGAGATTATAGGTGCATGCCAGTATACTAAGGCTATGAGGTCAAAAACTTAGTATGAATTTCCATTCTTACTGCTTGTTATATAACCTCAAAAATGTTAGTTGACCTCTAAGGTGTGCTTTTATTCTTCTTTAACATTATTTTACACTATAAACATGAAAACTGCTATGTGATGTAGCCCCGTGGCACAAGTGCCTGCCTGGCAAATGTGAGGACAAGTTTGAGCCGCGATTCCAAAAAATATTTTTATTTTTTTAAATGTTACATAAAAGAATTTTTAAACTTATAAAAGAACTTTATAAGTTATAAGAACACCATATAAAATATTAGCTTTATTATGAAGAAATACTTTATAGACCTCTCCAAAAGAAGTCTTCCTATTTTTTTTCCTCCCCACTCTGGTGTTCTAGCAGTTTCAAATTTATTTATTTAAGATTACTTAGATGATTGTACTACTAATTCTATTAGTTCTAGCTGTTTCAAATTTACACAATGTTATCAAATAACTATCACAACCAGGAATCCAGCCACTTCAAGACACCTATTTTATTAGCCAGGCTGAGAAAAACTCATGCAAATTAAACTTACTAATTAATTTATAAGGGCTATGGCTTCATTTCATACTATAAGCATTACAAATATTCACTTTGTTATGTGATTTTAGACATAGTTAAATTTTAGGTTAATTGCAAGAGGTAATCCATTTTACACATAAGGAAACTGAAACAAAAAAAATTAAGTATCTTACCAAAAGTTAAAGTTAGTAAGCTCTCGGTCAGTATTCAAATTTAGGATAGCCAAGTCCTTGGCTTTTGCTTTATGAATTTTGTGAACAAAAAATAGTTTCACTTTAAAACAGCATAGATTCTGAGGCAAATGAATTGTGTTTAGACAACCTGGCTAGGAATGCCTACCTATTTAGAGGAACTAATCTCAAAACTGGTCACAAGCTGCACCTTCTAGAGGTATTAAAAACATTAGTATCAGAAATGAACGATCACTTAACTATCTGTACACTTTAAAACAATCTTGTACAATACACATCACTCTGACAAAGCTGTTCACAATAGTAGCCACTAGTCATATATGATCTAGTATTTTTAAATGTGGCCAGCTCAACTAAAGAACAATATGTTCAATTTTATTTTATTTTGGTAAAATACAAAACCTGATAATATATAATGAACATAATTTATAAATTATATTTTTGCAAATTGATGCTTCATTAATAGCCTCTGAAGCTCTTAAATTCTGCACTGACCAAAGAAATTACTTAGAATTCAAGCACCCAAATAAGCAAAATTAAAATATTTAGCAGGTCCAAGCACATATCCATACAACTATTGCAGATCGACAACATGTGAAAAAAAGCAGACAGCCAAAACTCTAAAAAACAAAATGAAACACAAATCAAGTAAGGCTGAATTTCTTACAGGCAGCCAAAAAAACTCCATGCGAATGTTTTATAGTCATCATACTTTTATTTTCAGATCAAGCATCCAAACAAGTATAGGCTCTTTTTAGCAAATACAATGCCAAGCACTAGTATGGATCAGGCATTTTACCTGACTTATTTTTTGTTGTTGAACCCTCAATGAGAGCAGTAGAAAACAAAAGTAGCTGAAATGTGAAATAATCCCTAGAAAAATCAAGAATTAAAAAAATTCCAATATTAGTAAAAAGCAATTACTCAAAGAATGAAAACTTGAGGCTCACAGTGTAAATTTAAATAAACTTTCAGAGATTAAGCTATCCCTAAATGGTTTAAAAGACGGTAGTGCTAATAATTCAGATAGCAGGTTCATGAGCTATTATTATATTTAAATATAACAGAGTTTAAAAATATTATTTAGCCAAGGAAGCTACCAGTTTAATTGTAAACTAAGTATATTAGTAACAACATGTGAATAACTTCTATTATTAATCTGTCTAAAACTGGACATTCCTGGTGCCAGCTTTTATTCTTCTTAGAATCTTATTATTCTGGTTTGACTAGGAATTACTGGCTTTTCTGCCTAGATGCCATCAACACAATGCTTTCTTTAGTTTAAATAAAGAATTAATTAAAAACGTAGCTGCCCTTCATCTCTGCATTGTTAAAAACAATGTAAAATTAGGATTCTTTAAAAAAGGAGAGAGAATCTACATCTCTTGATTATTTTTTAAACAGCCTGTACCATTGGGAATATTTTGGAAAATGCTGTATTGGTACCTTCTCAAAAACAAAAAATAGCTAAAATAAAACGTAACCCAAACTACAAACACTTCTGAAAAGATGAAATACCTAGATTATCAAATTATTTTGCAGCTTTCAAATCAAACTAAAATATTTTTTCTAGGCCCCATCTTTGTCACAGATCAACAAAAAACAAAACTCAACAATCGCACTGATTTGTTAAAACTTTAATCTTAAATCAGTTGTTCATATAAGGAAAAAAACCCGAGCTGCTATACAGAAACAAAACTAGGTAAACTACATTTAAAACTGTTTAACTTCAGGTTTGCCTTCAATCACTACAGAGAAAAACATTACAAAAACAAACAAAAAACTATTATATCTGATTTTCAAGCTTAATTTATTACTATATACTTCTAAAATTAAATTTTTATAAAGTATGTAGATTCTTACTGGCAATGAAAAATGAGTCAGGCAATTGGAGCAATATAACAAAAATCAAACCAAAAATATCACCCCATCGGTCATAGTTCTATATTCAAATTCCAACTCAATTACTGTACCTATACCCACCTTACAAAGTAACAGTAAGAATTAAATACTTCTTAATTATCTAGCATTGTAATCTGGCATGGGGCAGGTACATTCTGAATATCGACTATGTGAGTAATGGCAAAAAATAGACTCTTCCCTCAGTTTGTTTTCTGAAATCTAAAATGAAACCTGCTTGACTTGTCTCTCAGGACTCTTGTGAAGATCTAATGAGATAATGTAAATGAAGGCAGTCTCATGGAAAAAGAACGAGCTTGAACATGGGAAAAGTCATAAACCTCTTTGAGTACCATTTTCTCCAAATAAACTGCATGCCATAATACCTACATCTCACATGGTCTTTAATACTGATGATTAAAAGGTGATGAATGTCAAAATATTTAAAAGGCACAAAATGTTAGCTGAATGTAGAGAGAATTTTACTACAAGGCTGTGCTGAAATATCCTGAAAATGTCAACAATATTACAGCATACTTCAATCCATATTATGTTACATCAAAACTATTATTAGTTTTATAAACTAGGACTCTGTAGACAGTATCATTATTAGAATGAATTGCAGGAGAAATAAACAATACTATAAAGTATGAGACTAAATCATAAGGCTCTTTCTCTTTGACTTCTGTCTACAGGCTGTGAAATAATTAATAAGCTGACTGATAAATATCACACAAGGGTCACAGTACTAAGGGGCTACTGGGTGCTAAAGAAGAATGTCATGTGGTAATGAAGGTTCAATGCTGTCAGTGCATACTAAAGTAGGTGGAAACTTGGCTTTTCAGTAAAATTTCTCAGAAAGTTTGCATACTGTGTAAGGCAATAACAGATGTTTGTGAGGCAGACACAGATAATGCTTTACAACCTATATTAAAGAAACAGGGTAAATTCCATGAGAGCAGGGAAAGAGGTGTGTTCATTTAAGCATGAGGCATTATGTTTTGCACACAGTAAATGCTTGATAAATATTTATTTTAACAATGAATGAAATAAAAGGTCTCAGGAGATTAGAGAAAACACTAAGCAACAGGTAAACAACCAATGAACAGAAAAAAATGTCCCAAAGCATGAGTTTGTTGCCACCAGTGAGTTGGGCACTTAACTATTTTTTTTTTTCTGTCTTTTTCCTTTTTATGGGTACCAGGGATCGAACTCACGACTGCCTGCTTTCAAGGCAGGCACTTATGCCGCTGAGCTAAATCCCCACCCCCGGCACTTAACTTATTTTCAGTCTTGGGGACTCAGACCAATATAAACATTTTAATACATATTTTTATAATATATTGATTCCTCACTTTGAAACCATAATTTGAGTAAAATAAATCAGACACATAAATATCGTATGCTTCCTTATACATAAAGAGCAAAATAAAAGATAATAAGAAGTAGGGAGATAAACTTTTCTCATATGGAAAGGGATCAACAGATAGAGGGAAGGGGGAGGAAGAAGAGGAAAAGAGGATACAAAAATGGAATTAAGATGTGTTATGTGCGCTTGCTTTGGCAGCACATATACTAAAATTGGTACGATACAGAGAAGATTCGCATGACCCCTGCGCAAGGATGACATGTAAATTCATGAAGTGTTGCATATTTTTTAGATTATCTAAACTAGAGGACAGTTTTGCAATGTGGGAATAAGAAAGAAAAAATTTTTAAAAATAACAAGGAAACAAGCAGTAACAATACAAAGGCTAGAAGACGACAAGAGGATCTACAACTTGAGAATAAAGAATGTGAATGAAGAAGCAGGGGTACAAACAAAGGAACTACAAAGGCTATGGACAGAATTAATGAAGGAAAACTTTCCAAACATAGGAAGAGGAAATGATATTCAGATGTATGAGGCATACCAAACTCCAGCCACTTACAACCAAAACAGCTACATCCAGGCATATAATAATCAAGATCCCAGAAATTCAATACAAGAACAGAATATTAAAAGCCACCAGAGAAAAGATAACCTGTAACAGAAGGCCCATCAGAATAACAGCAGACTTCTCAACACAAACCATCAAGTCAAAAACAGCCTGGAGCGAAATATTCCAAGCCCTGAAAGAAAATAACTTCCAACCCAGATTGATATATCTTGCTAAACTGTCTCTAGAAATTAATGGAGAAACAAGATGCTTCTAAGATAAAGAGAAATTTGGGAAATTCCAACCACCAATCCAACTCTACAGAGAATACTGCAGGGCATTCTAGAGAGAGAGAAAAATACCAGGATTCCAGGAACAGTGGCAGAGAGGCCTCAGTGAATTGAGCAGAAAACAGAAAGAAGATAAGCAGACAACTGATGGCAAAAAAGGAGCAAAACAGAAACGAAGCAGAGAAAGTTGGTTATAATATCTAATATAGAGGGCCTTGATACACTAAATTAAAAAAAAAAAAAGAACCACACATGCAGTAGATCAGGAGGTAGGGTCCACTGAGATGTTATTTATAGGAAATATAATTAACATGAAAAAGAGTACATGGACTGAAAATCAAATATGAGAAAACAATGCTCTGTGTGACAGAGAACCAGAGAGTAATAGGGGCAACTAGACCAGTATTTGTGGATAGGTTGGAAAGACAGGCTTTAATAGGTAAAGGAATATAATTAGAGATCAAGTCCAGGAGAGAGCAGGTTTGGAACCACTTAGGTAAATAGCAGACTGCCCCCACCCACCGAATTTAAAACCAAGGGTCTTTGTCAGACCCCAAAATGCTCAGTGTACCCTGGGGAATTGAAAGGGGAAAAAGAGTCTTAAAAAAGATGGCAGAAGATATTGTTAACAGCGTATCAGGATTTAAAACCCACATTACTTGCACCACTCTGTTTAGATAGATTTTATTCTTTTTTTTTTTTTTGATATTTTATTCTGCCCCAGTTTGTCTACTTGCATTAGATTTGAGAGCACAGACAGCTATCCCTAAAACATCAGGATTTAGCACAGTAATCACCTTTAATTTCTTATTATCTTAATCTGGAGCCCTGTATGACTTACACTGTTTTATCATGACTGATCTTAGTTAAATCTGGTTTCTCTGATTGCAGTTTGGTATCAACAGATTTTATTCAAAACTGATATGATTGATAGTATCAAGTCTGAGAGTATAGGCAACTACGCTGAAGATGGCAAGGCTCTACAATACACATTCTGGTTTGATAACTGCCTGTTTTTGAAGTTTTACACTATATACAAAGTTCTGTTTTTATTAATACTGTTATGTACTGATATATTCAATTATACTATGTCTGATGATACAGCCAATTCTATTGAAGATAAGAGACAACACAGGAACTATGGTAGAACTCTTTGTACGACGGTCTTACATGTCTTTTTCGTTTCATGTGTTTATAGGAATATGTTTTAAAGTTTTGTCTTGCTTTATTTCTTCCTCTAATATAAAAAGGATAGAAATACATGTTAAGATTCGTGCATGTGTAGAATCTATAAACAATTTATGAGAACTGATTTTATGACACATGATGAAATGAACAGATACTTTGAAGAAAAAGAGACACTAAAGTACCCATTGCTGATCCTGGAGGGTCATGATGTGAAACCCAGCAACAATACTATTCTTTGTTCGTAGTGATATAAGACTACCTGGGTTTGTTCAATCTCAACATAATTGAAGATATGGATAACTGCATGTATGTTTAAGTGTATAAGATTGATAACCATATTTCTAAGTTTTTGTTGGATAGTTGAACAGAACTGGTTGCAGTCTCACTGTTTGAATCCCCACTTTATATGCTCCACTTTACTATCTTGAATAACTATTGGTAAGAGGACAATCTGTAATCATCAACTAGTGATTTCTTACTGTTTATTTTTTTCTTTGAAAGTATGCATTATTTCTACCTGTTTTCTGTTTTGTTTAGTCTTTCTTTAAATAAATTTTTTTTTTTAAAAAAGACACTACAGTACCCAGTGCTGATCCTGGAGTGTCATAATGTGAAATCCAGCAATAGTATTATTCTTTGTTCAGAATGACTTTAGCCTGCTTTAGTTTGTTTAATTCCAACACAAATTGAAGATATGGATAACTGCATGTATCTTTAAGTGTACAGGATTGACAACCATATTACTAAGTTTTTGTTGGATAGTTGAACAGAACTGTTTGCAGTCTCACTGTTTGAATTCCTACTTTATATGTTCCACTTTTGTATCTTGAACAACTATTTGCAAAAGGACAACATGTAAACATTAACTAGTGACTTCTTATTGTTCAGTTTTTCTGATTGTATGTATTATTTCTATCCTTTTTCTGTTTTTAGTCTTTCTTTAAATGAAAATTTTTAAAAAAAGACGTATTATGTATATATAGCAACTCCACACAAGGAATGTAAACATTATATAGTGCAAATATGTACTTAAAAATAAAAGATGTATCCAGGAATTCATACCAACCAACCAATCAAAAAAAGCACTGAGTATATGCTAGGTTTGCCATTAAGTACTTATATATTTATTACCATATATGAGTGAAATGTTAAATGCATGTATAAGCAGATAAGGTATTAAGTTAAGTGTGAACAGGGAAAATGCATCAGAAGAATTCACAGGAAACTCTTAATTCTGATAGAATGGAAGAAAACACACGCTAAATGATACAGTACTTATTAGTGTATATGGTAGCCAGCAGTGGGGAAAAAAAGGATGGACAGTAGAAATTGTGAATTAATTTTTTTGTAACTTGAACCACTGGTGGTACATGCTCAAATATTCCATTGAGCAGCTTGCACCACTGGTGGCAAAAATGAATCTAAACACTTCTGTAGGTCTTTTTACTAATGAAATTAAATCAGAGCCACCCAAAAGTGAGACATTCAAATAGTAAGATTGTCTCAAGACTGTTATGAAGATCTTCTAGGTAAACTCCATTGATCTGGAGAGGACAGAGGAAGAAAAAGTAATATACGTTGGAAATAAGAAAAGAAACATCAAATCTACCATTGTAATATACGTACATGTTGATGAACATAACATCTATTATCCAGTCTTAAGAAATAAACATATTTGCCATTAACACTAAAAAATATAGGGAAGCTGCAGTCCAAAATTACATGCAAAAATATAAAAGCTCAATTATGAATATGAAATCTGAAGATGGGAAAAAATTACAAAAATGAAGATAAAACTAGGAGGACAGGGACAAAATACTTCTGAAATCCACAGGAATGAGATAGGACAGAAATGGGAAAAATTAGTTGGTACTAAAGAATTAAGAATCAGAGAAAATGTTACCTATAGAAGATAAGAAGATCCAATGATGTGTACCTAGTGTGAAAAACTGTATCACAATTACTTGAGAAACTCAGGTGGAAGGATTATTTGAGTCCAGAGTACAAGACCAGCCCAAGCAACACAGAGAACACCTCCATATAAAAATATATATATATATCTGTATCTATATATATATGAAAACATTATATAAATAAAAGCATGTCTACATTTACATAGTTAAGGACATACAGAGTCCAAGAAAAACAACTGGCCCAGAAACTTCTACACTATTTTAAAAACAGTGTAGGCCACAGGTATTACTGCACATCTGTAGTCCCAGCAGTACAGAGGTTGAGGCTGGAGAATCCCTGCGAGCCCGAGGTTGGCCTGAGCGACATGCCAAATCCTGCCTCAAAAATCAAACATACAAACAAAACTACACAACAAATAAAAACCCACAAAGACTCAATCTAGGGAGTACTTGCTCAATAATACAGATTTCATTCCCAGCACCAAAACCAAAGATATCTTTGGATACCCTGGTGAAAAGATTAAATCAATTATTAACAGGAAAGAAAATTAGATTGGCCTCAGATTTCTTTGTAGTAACATTCTACACTTAAAAGTCTGAAACAATGCTTTCAATAACCTCAAGTATACAAAATATGACCCAAAAATTTCATACTCAAATTGTTATTCAAAAATTAAAAACATCCAAATAAGCAGTCTGTGAAAGAAACCTAGGAAATATTTCCCATGGGCCCAGCTCAAAGGACTTACATAAGCATGAACTTTAGGTAGTCCACATAAGCTCAAAGGACTTACATAAGCATGAACTTTAGGTAGTCCACATACCTAGACAAACTGAAACACAAGGACTGGCAGTAACAACTAAATCAATATAAGGGTACTGGAAACTATCATTAGACAATATGGAGAGGATACACTTAACAAAAGAGTAAGGGTGGAAAGGGCAGGAAGTTTCATTTAACCGTCTCCTTTATCTTTTAACAACTGGCTATCAAAGCCTCATTGGAAGCTCTCATAAGGCAAGAGAAGTATAAAAATATTTACCTCTACGAAGTAAACATTGAGATACTACAGTAATAAGGCTGAAGTTGTAGTTCAATGGAAACACGCTTGCTAGGCATGCTCAAAGCTCTGGGTTTAATGTCTAACACGAAGGGGAGGGAGGAAAGGAGGAAGAAAGGAGAAAATATGGAGAAATAGAAAATATATTAATTTCACTGATGTTCATAGAAATTAAAGTATTTCCATTGAAAGACACAAGGATTAAAGCTATGAAAAAGTTAAGGTTATAAAAGTATCACCTAAATAATTAAAATACAATTATTCTTAACTTTAAAAAAAAGAATAAA